TTTATTAAAACCAGGTCCAAGGTTTCCCTCAGAAAACTTGCTAAGCCCGGTGTTTGGGCGCTAGGGCAGTCATTCATCCAGCTGTCGTGTTTTTGAGTTAAAAAATGTTTAAAGTTTACAGGAAATATGAAAATATCACTTGATAACTATGTGTTAATGAATGATTGGAAAATTAACACCTGAACGCCAACCATAAAGTCTTAAAAAAAATGCAAAAATTTTAAAAACACTCAAATGAATAAGCAGTCCTTAGCCTGTTGTGGGCCCAAGTAAAGCCTGGTGGCCCGCCAGGCTTATAATACACTGGGGGAAACTCTGCAGGTAAGAATAGAAGTAAAAGTTCTTAAAAAGGAAACGTTACTTATCTGTAAAGAAAATTTTCACTAATTAGTTAAAAAGCATTCGTCCTCCCAGAATCCTTCAATGGGCCTCAAATGGCCCCCCAGCCGCACTTTGGACACCACACATTTGAACTTTTCATAACACAAAGATAAAAGACAAGTCGCCACTCTCTTCTACCAGGACATGTTTATTTACAGCGGCAAAATGATACGAGTCACAAGTGTTCCACAGGTACATACAGAGAAACATCGATAGTTCCCACTTCCTGCACAATTCAGCGGGGACAGTCCAGGGGACATGGGGACAGAGAGGACACATAATGTACACTGAGCTCAAACACGTCTGTTTTAACCCCGGACAGAACCGAAAGGATCGAGGAAACGAGTGGCTTCAGACTCATATTCAAATACAAAAAGAACATGTACAAACTGTATAGCCTCCAGGCACTGTGCTCCGGTATTTACAGTGATCATCAACAGGCAGCAGAACCAAACCCGATTCACATATGCAGGTTTAATTTTTGTTTTCTTTTTGCGGCGCTTCACGGGTTGGAGATAAAAGCTCAGAGGCGTGGATGGGATTAATTACCGTCCGGATCCGCGTCATGTCATCGTTACCCGGAAACAGAAAAACGCCTGGAACTGAAACCGAACCGGATTTCTACCCGACTGAACTCTGAATCGATTTTAGCGTCGATGAAACCAGGATGAGCCGACGGTCGTGGACTTACGGTACAGTACGTGCAGATACATTCAACAGACATACATGCAACCTGAATGTTAACGCGCACACACGTATGCACGCGCGCGCGCACACACACACACACACACACACACTCACACATATATGACAATGATGGGTTACACACCAACAGAACCAGATCTCTGTTTACTTCCAGGCTCCTACACTTATCAAGTAAAAAGACTCAATTTCCCAGAATTCCCAGTCCAAAAACGTTACCAGGAATCTGTGGACATCAATAAAGGGGAAGATTGAAAAACAGAGAGAAGGAAAGAAAAGTAGGGAATGATTGAAGGAAAAGAAGGGATGCAAGACAGAAGGACAGAAAGAAGGAAGGATGGGTGAGGTAGAAAACAAATAAGGGAGATAGTTAGG